TGCTGATGAAAGCACGGAGGAACAGCAGGGAGCACACTCATAACAGCCAGACTGAGGACACGAAAATCACGGAATCACAGAATTGTTAGGGTTGGAAGGGCCCTCTGGAGATCATTCAGTCCAAGCCTCCTGCCAAGGCAGGGTCACCTGGACGTGACACAGGAACGCGCCCAGGTGGGTTTGGAATGTCTCCAGAGGGGGAGACTCCACACCCTCCCTGGGCAGCTGTTCCAGTGCTCAACGTGCAGAAGCGCTTCCTCACGTTGAGGCGAAACTTCTTGTGTTTTAGTTTATGGCCATCGCTCCTTGTCCTAAGAAAAAAAAATCCCACAAGACCGAGGAAATCAGAACTTTCCACGAGAAACCCCAAAGCGCTGCCTTGCCTTTATGTTCACCGCGCAAGGGGCAGCCCTTCCCCCGGCAGCCGCCTGACAGAGTTGGGGCGCACACACGGGGGGCGGTGTCCCCCCGGGCCGGGCCGGGCAGCGCAGGCCGGCGGGTCCCTTCCGTTCGCCGGTACCGCGCGCAGGTCACGCCGGGCCCTCCTTGAACCGAGATTACCCGGCCGGCGCCTCCGGCCGTTCCGCGCGGCTCCCCCCGGCCGCGGCCGCACCATGACCCCTGCGGCGGCTTTGCGGAGCGGCCGCACTCGGCCCGTGACGGGGCCGCGGCTCTGCCGAGCGGGGCGGGCGGCGCAGCCGGGGGAGCCCCGCGGGGCCGCGGCCGGGCCATGGCGCTGCTGCCCGCGCTGCTGCTGCTGCTGCTCGTTCCCCTGGCGGCGCTGGCGGCGGCCGCGGTGCTGCTCGGCCTGCCCAGCTACGACATCCCGCCCGGGGTGAACCAGCCGGCCAAGCTGCGCCTGGTGCTCGCCGTCCTGCTGGGCACCGCCGCGCTGGTGAGTCGCGGTTTGGGGGGGAGCGGTTTGGGGGGACCCCGAGGCGCTGCGGGGGATTGGCGGGGGGTGCAACGGTTGCGCTAAACACGGAGAGCCCGGGTCGGGACCGGCGGGTCCCCGCCCGCTCCGTGGGATGCTGGAGGCGCCGCATCGCGGGGTGGTGCTGCGGGGAGCAACCCCGGGCGGGTCCTGCCCCGGCTACCCCCCGATGGGTTCTGCCCCGAGCATCCCCAGAGCATCCCCGGGCGGCTTCTGCCTGCCCGGGGTACCCCCCGGCGGGTTCTGCCCCACGCACCAGCCCTCGGGTTCTCCCGGGGCATCCCCCAGTCGAGGATGGTGCCCCGGCCACCCTGGTCGGGCTCTGCCCCACGCACCCCCCGTCGGGCTCTGCCCCGAGCATCCCCACTCGAGGATGCTGCCCCGGGCATCCCCGGTCGCGGCGCTGCCCATGTCGCGGGCAGACGCCGTTCGGGAGCGCGCCGGGCTGTGTTAGCGGTGGTTGCCATTGCAGCCCCGATTTGAGGGCTGGGTGGGGGGTTTGCCTGATAACTGCCCGCACCCTTAGGCGAGATCACCTTGCACAAGGAAAGCTACAGCCCTTCGGCTGCTCCTGCCATGGCTCTGACATTTATGGCACACAATCCGGTTAGGGCTGCTTTACTTAATCCCTGGACTCCCTTTGGCAGCATTGCATAAACGGCCTTGGAGCCCTCCTCAGCTCTGGCACTGTCACTCTCTCTGTCTTTGAATTTCTTAAAATCTTCAATTTCTTCCGTCACTACTTTTGCCACAACATCACACAGACTTTGTTTTCCTCCACACAGGTTCTTAAACCATTTACATCCTCTTTAAATTTACTGATAAAGCTGCCCAGCTCTCCTGAACCTCCACTATTTTTAATGCCCAATGAGTCTGTCTTTATCCACTACCAGGTGACAAGGGAGTGGATAAAGACAGACTCATTGGGCATTAAAAATAGGGATCTTGTTTAGCCAGTGAACAGTGTAACAGTTTATGTGTTTGATCGCCAACTTCTTGTTTGTTCACTTATTACATCATATTGATATTCTAGCTTGCAAGAGCATTGCAAGAGCATTGGGAAAGCAAGCAGCTTCATTTTGTTCAGTAGATCTGTTGTGCAAATAAAAAGCAATAACTGACTTGCACAACACAGCTCAGCACTTTAGATTTGCAAATTCACTGAATTTTACGGTCTAATTCATCAATATCAGTTTCTGCAATGAAGAACTAGTTCTACATATGGCAGTTCATTGCTGTTATCAAGTGTAAATGAAACAAGAATAAGCACAAAGGTGTGCAGGACAATACTGACAGTTAAAATATATACTGCAAGATAACCAGTTTGGTTGACCTTTACAGAGTTTCTTATGTGACATTACAGTGACATTGGAGTTGAGTTGTACAAGTAAATTTTTTTACAGACTGTAGGATGTGAGAACTTGGGAAAATGGTGGCTTTTTTTTTTTCCGAATCAGAGCTCTGTATAATTTCCCTCAAATACAGTTTGATGTAAGTATGATGCAGAGTTTTTATACCTTGCCTAACTCAAGACTTCTAAAGATGCCTTAATCTCTTTCACCTTTAACAGGGAAGGATTTTGGAGAAGACTGGGCTTTGCAGCCAAATCAGTTTTGGCCGATATGTGCGACAGGGATGGAAACTAGGGCTGGATCCAAAGCTCTTCATCCAGGATCTGCAGTTTAATGAAGTACCTGTGAGGGTTTATCAGCCTAAAGCTACCTCTGATGGGCGAAGGAGAGGCATCCTCTTTTTTCATGGAGGAGGCTGGGTATTTGGAAGCCTTGGTAAGATACTTGCTGGAGGAATTGTAGTAAAGTCTTTTTACAAAATAGAAATCAGCACGTGATTTGGGAGGAAGTGGGAAGCCTTTCTGGAATGAGCATCCCCTAGGCTGTCTCAAAGATGAGGGCAATAGCAAAGCACTAATGACAGTATTTCTTTTCCAGATACCTATGAAAAGGTGTGTCGCTACCTCTCCAGGGAGAGTGACTCGGTGGTTGTGTCTGTGCAGTAAGTGAACCCTGCCCTCTCCTAATTGGGAGATTACTGTTGCTGTGGTGCCACAAGCAGAGCTGCACTGGTTTTGGAGATGCTCTTTTTTGTCAGAGGAATTTCTGCAGAAGTCAGTGTAGCCCATAAAGAGACAAAGAGTGATAATGGAGATTTCACAGCCCTGAACTGCTCATGCCCAGAGATGCTCAGGAAAGATACATATGGAAATATTTGGCACATTAAGGAAATATATAAAAGCCAATCAAAAACTTGGATGAAAAACGTCTTCCTTATGCTGAACATATGAACATGAAATAAGATCCTCCAAGTAATTGGGATCTATAGGAAAAGAGAGAATAATCACATGTATTCCTCCCATTTTAACATAGGAAGAAGAGGCACAAAATTGTTAAATTATCTTGGCAAGAGTACAGAGGAAGTTTTGAGTGTGAGTAAGACCTTGCACAATTCCTTGGTCAGATCCTTAATCAGAGGCAATCCTACTTCAGTGAGTGCTTGTAACTGAATACACAATTTACAGCTTATGTGCAGTCACAAACTGAGGAGTGCCTGCTTAGGAGGTGATGTGGAACAAGAGCACCCCAAAATGATAGGGCTGAAGGACAGAAATATGACACCATTTCCTGATTACTGCTGGCAACATTTCCTTCTCTTACACTTGTCTCTGTGTGTCCCAGGTACCGTCTGGCCCCTGAACACAAATACCCCGCTGCCTACGAGGACTGTCTGAACGCCACCCTGCACTTCCTGCACAACCTGGAGCACTATGGAGTGGACCCTGCCCGTGTCACTGTCTGTGGGGACAGTGCTGGGGGCAACCTGGCAGCTGCTGTGAGCCAGACCCTGGCAGGCAGGTCAGACCTCCCCAAACTGCGTGCTCAGATCCTGCTCTACCCAGGCCTTCAGGCCCTGGACTTCAATTTACCATCTTATCATCAAAACCGAGGAGTCCCCTTATTATTCCGAGAACGTGCTGCTTTCTTTGCTTTGCTGTACCTAAATGGGGATGCACTGCACATGCAAGAGGTCTTGGAGGGCTCTCATATTCCTCCAGACATGAGGGTGAAGTACACGAAGTGGGTGAGTCCAGACAACATCCCCGAGAAATTTAAGGTCAGAGGTGTGAGGCCACTTAGGCCCACTGATTTTATAGCTGAAGTTTATGAGACGGTGAAGAGATTCTGTGAGCCCAACCTGTGCCCTCTGTTGGCTGAAGACTCTGTTGTTCAGCAGCTGCCAGAATCTTTCATCCTGACCTGTGAGTACGACGTGCTGCGGGACGACGGCTTGTTGTACAAGAAGAGGCTGGAGGACAACGGTGTCCGGGTGACCTGGTACCACCTTGAGGATGGATTCCATGGGATCATAAGCCTCTATGATTACTGTGGTTTCTCATTTCCATCTGGGAAGAGGGGATTGGACAGCGTTGTTAACTTCCTAAAAAGCTTATAGTAAACATCTTAGATTCCACGAGTCTGTTCATGCCTCAACCTAGGAAAATATCTTTTTAGGATATTTAATATCAGGTGATGGGTAGTCAGTCAAGGGCAGCCAATTAAGAATGATAAACAAAGCTCATCAGAACCTCATTCCAGCTGTTAGTTGGAACATGGAATATGCAAACCTTATACAAGCCTGTACCATGCTGCAAGCCCTTATCTTTAGCTCTGTCAGTAAAGGAGAATGGTACTTTGAATGGACATCCTGGTCTGTACCAGCTGTTTAAAATAAAATGTGTGTGTATGAAGAGAAACTGTGTGTTAGCAGGTATGTGTGGTGTGTTGGTGCAGAGGTGTTCTGAACTCTGTTAGATCAAAAAAAACCCACCTCAGCTGACTTTAGTGGGTTAGAAGCCACTGTTTTGGTCAACAATAAATATGATGCAGCCTAAAATGTGGTCACTGTCACTGTGGGGATAACAAACAAATGGTTCCATGGCAGCTCCACACATCACCCACATTTCTCAGCACACAGGCAGGACTGGAGCCCCTTTCTGCCCCAGTTTTAGCACTGGACTACTGGGTAATGTTTAACCCACATAACTTGAAGGATGGTTCCAACAGCCAGGGAGGGTAGTGCTGGTGAGGCAAAGAACTATGCATCACAAAAAGGTGGATGGGATTGGTGGAAGATTGAACCCAAACACTCCACTACAGTTCTCATTGGAAACTGGCTGGAGAAGAGGACGAGAGGAAGGTTGGGAAAGAAAAAGGGGAAGATCAGGAAGGTGGGAGCAGGAACAGAGGGGTCAGAACCAGTGCTGTGGGGGTAGTACATGGCTGCAGCCATCAGCTGGAGTCCAGGCTCACCCCAGAGGAGTGATAAAAGGGAGAAAGATAAACATCTTGCTTGGCCTATATTAATTCTTTCTATTCATGATCTGCCATTCCTCTCCCTGAGCCAGGGCAATTAGAAATGCTGTGGCCCTTCTTAGGGCAGTCACTTGAAGCTGCTATACCACTTATATACAACTGTTCAACAACACAGACAATACCAACATCATGCAGGAGAGGCTTCATTAATCCTCCAGAATTCTATACTTCTCATAACTTGTATCAGAGGATCTTTAATAACTTGGATATTGGTTTCATTTGCTTCTAGAAACAAGAGCACCTTTGCTAGCAGAGCTGCTCGACAGATTTCATGCCCTGCCTAAGAGCTCAGCAAAATTTTGTCATTAGACGTTTAACTTTGTCAAAACATGCCAGTTAGGTTCAATATTGGAGCTGTTCAGGCAAATCCTCCTGACTCTGCTAAAATTACTTCCCTTAGATTTTTTTTTTTTCCTGGAGCAAAGTGCCAGACTGTATTGCAGAGCCTGTCTGCTGCAGCAGAAATAGGAACAAAGGGGGAAAACCAAGTTAATTCATTCTTTTCAGATGCTGGTTCACATGGCAGGTAGAAGTATTTAACACCAAGCCACGGCCAATTTTTCAAGGACTGTACAGTATTTATACTTATATATTTATTAATAATTAACAATGATAAATAATAATTTATAGTCAGCAATATTTTATATATCTTATACTAAGGAACCAATCCAGAATTTTACACTGGCTGATTATACCAGCTGACTTTAACAGCTGAGACAAAGTTCAGAACCCAGAGTTCTTCCCAAAAAAGTGGTTTTTAGATGCATAGAGGAAGAAAGGAGCACTGGGACAGAGCTGCTGTGATGACTGGGCTGCCTTAGCTACACTGAATTTTGTGCATTTCTCATGTCTATAAAAGACACTGTGAAACTCAGCAGCAGCTTCTACAGGAAGGTCTTTATCTACTCACAGACCAAACACTGAGGAGAGCCACGATGGAGAAATTTGAGGTAAGGAAAAGAAAATTTCAGTGTGGGGCTGTGTGTGCCAACATTCCAGACAGGGATGATCTGTGGCTAATACTTAAATCCTATTTTATATATCCTTAAACAACTGTATGTGTAATGGAAGGCACTGCAGCTCCGTGGCTGTTCCCAGGCTGCAGAGCTCCCCTGTAGTTCTGATTCCAGAGGGATCCCTTCCCAGGCAAACAAACTGCTTGGTACCCTCAGGATGGTTCCCAGTCTTTGTCTTGGAGGGTGACCAGGGCACATGAGGAGAACCAGTGTGTTCCTACCAGCTGGGACTGGGTATTGTGTCTTCAGGGCCCTCCCTGAGCTCTAATAGGAGCTTGGTGGTAAAATAGGATTATTTGAATCAGCACACCTCCAATTTACACAAACAAACTGCACTTCAATGAGGCCCAGATCTTTCACAATATTTTTCCCACAAGTGTCATCTACTAGAACATCCCTTCCACTGAGGTACCTCAACACCCCCAGATATTATCACTCTCTCCAGACAGACAGCTGGAAGGTAGGACATGCAATGCTGCTGCACCACAGAACACTTAAGCAGCACAAGACAATCAGCTTTTCATTTTCAGCCTTCTTAAATGTGTCTGCAAATCCGTGATGCGTGTGTGGAAATCAGCCTAATCAGATCTCATGACATGCAGATGCAGTTGCTTAAGTTAGCTGGAAATTTACTTTGCTTGAAATGCAAATGCCCTTATTTTCAGGGATTAAATTTTAAGTAAAAGTAATACAAGGACTGATAATTGTGTGATATCACTGGCAGGACGGTCAGATCAAAAGCACACTGAGCCACCTGAATGCTCTGCACAAGCAGCACAATTTCATCATGTGTGCATCTCATTTCAGAGCCTGTCACTGCAGCATTTCTTCACCCATCACAAGGAACAAAGAAGCCAAAATTTAGTATTGGAGTGTGACAATAACTGCAGTAAACATGGTTACAGCCTGTGCTGTCTCCCCTCCAGAGCTGGAGTGGATGCAGGTTGGCCTGGATACCTCAGAAGTCAGATTTCCCCATTCTCAGTACTTTTTGGAATTATTAATTCAATCAGGTGGAACATGGTGCAGTGGTCAATATATGGATTTAGAGCCAGGAACTTCCTTCTGCTTTAATTCCAAAAATGGATCTTGTGGTGACTTTTGGCTACTTTCTTACCCAGTCAGGAGCTTATTTTTTGGATTGATAAAGTGGAAATGTTGTCCATACAATACTTAATCACCACAGGCAGCAGTGAAGGAGAGTCTCAATGGGCAGATTTCTCTCCCCTTTTCAATATCAGCTGAAGGAAAGAAGAGCTGTGGGATACAAGTAGCAGGAGAATTCACAGACTATTATGATGTTTCTAAATTTAAGTGAAATGTAAAGCTGTGTTAACTTTTTTAATATCTACCAGAGAGGCTACGAAGAGTCAGGACTCCTGATTGATGCCATTACTGCAGTTCCTGTCGATATCTAACAGTGATTTTCCAGCCAGAGGAAGACACACATGCCCTGGGAACAAATCTGGTTTGCCTTTACTCTACTGTCAAACTAGTACAAACATCCCCTATGACAACAGTGGAGCAGAAACACCAGAACCAAAAATTTAATTCCATAATTTCTGACATTTCATCGTGTCTCAGAACCACCCACCAACTCTGGGCTTCTCGAGCACCTGATGAGAAACTGCACAAGAAAGAAGCTGAGTCCAGACCGGTGTCTGAACCAATTCCTGTGAAAGCCCAACAATTTCTGCTTTTGCTCCATGTCAGCTGAGACAACCAGCTAAAAACTCATGCTCTCCCTTCCAGCCAGGGACATCTTCCCCAAAATGCTGTAGAATCCTGGACTGTAAAGGAGGTCAGAATATCTGTAAGGCTTTGGCCAACTGCTGAGAGACAGAACAGCCAGGGACAACGCTGTGTAAACTGCTTAGGGTGATCTTAAGCACTGCTTAATATAGATTGTTGTGTGAGCTGTGCCATGTAGAAGGGATGAGAATTAGGTTATATAGGCACAGAGCTTTTTACTGGTTAGAGCAAGTTGCTGGATTACATCCTGACCTGCAGGTGGCCAGGAATATTTCAGAAGATATTAAACCACAGAAAACAGATTTTTTATCTTTTGGTTTTTAGTCAATGAATAGTTGCAGTAAGAAAAAAACCAACAACTGGGATTGAACTGAAAGGACATGAACCTCGTAATTGCTTTGCACTTTGTTTTGTCATTTTAACAAAGCTTGCTGTGCTTTTTTTTTTGAAGAAAGAGCAGAAAAGAACCTTGTGTTATTCCATAATATGCCTGAAACATCCAAGAATAAAGCAAACATATGAAATAGCTGCATATCCAAGGCCAAGGTGGAGCAAGGTTCCTCCCAGTGCAGGCAGCAGGCAGACCTTGATTGCCCTTGGCTTTCCATACGGAACAGCACTTAAGGGTAGATAAGCTGCAAAGTAAACTCCATTAGCTGACCTTGAATTACCAAACTGTAAACACGGAGGGAACAGCTCTGGGTGGCCTTTACAGCCCTGGATAGGCCACCCTGAGACTTCACTCCGTTGAGGAAGAACCTAAACGACCTATGTAAAAAGTGCTGGCAGAAGCCCAAATTCTTATTGCCCTAATGTGCAACTTCTGCATTTGAAATCACGTTTGGTCCAGAGCAGAGATCTGCAAAGCTCAGCTGCTCTTGGGCTGAGGCTCAACAACAAACCTGCAGCACATTAAAGGCTTAGATTGAATATATCTGGAATTACTTCAACGCAATTCATCATATTTTTTTTGCTCAAGATTAGCAATATTATAGTTATTTTTAGGAACAAGATAAACCATATACCTTAGTCTTGGCATGGACAAGCCCCTGGCCATGGTCTGGACGGAGTTCTACCTCTGCAACATTTTAGTCACCGTGATTTAGGTTTGCTTTTTCAAGGTTGGGTTTGCAACTGAAGGGCATTGGCGACTCGGGCGTGTGTGCAGAGCAACAGTGGCACCTATAGGCAAAGGGATTCATCCGAGAGACACCCAAAAACGTCTGCGGGACAGGTACGAGCCCCTCAGCTGGGGGCACGAGCCGGAGAGCAGCGTCGTTAATGAAATCTTTTAGAGATGCAAGAGCCCGGATAATTAGATAAGCGTTATATGGGTTTTTTTTAGGCTTCAAAGCCCCAGGGAGATCAAAGGCAATTAGAAAAAATTGAAAGCAGAATAGGTGAAAGTCACTGAATCACAGCCAGCTATTAGTGCTGTGCTATTAAAGGCATTCTCTTGAAAAAACGCCTCTAAAATAATCCATAAAGAACGGATTACCATGGAATGAAAACTGGAGGACACAGAAATTCTTGTATCCACAAGGAAATCCTCCATATTAATTGTATTGCCAATATAACTATTAAAAGTGTATTTTTCTCTTTGTTCCCATCTGCTAATATTTTTAATGACAATACCAATCAGGCACCTTTATAGCACAACAGAGCCCAGATAATACCTAGAATGCAGCTTAGAAAATTATACAAAGGTATCCCTAATTTCATACAACTCTGATCAATTTGCTTAAAAATCTGCTCATCAATCATTCATAATTATTAAATATTTACAACAAATGAAACATTTATGCTTATCATCTACTGTGCTTCTAAAAGCAAAGCTCATATATGGAAAGAAATGACTGGCTTGATGTACAGGGAATTACTGAGAGGCACAAGAACCACCTATGAAATTTGTATGAAAACATTAATTCTAAATCTGAAAGCTGCCTGGGCAGGGCTCCCAGAGCACAGGCCTGATCTGTTTTTATTGAGCCATTTACAATTAAATCTACAACCACAACACCCAAAGGAACCCAAGGTAACCAGATGAAATTAATTCTGGTAGGGAGCTTCTTAAATAGGAAAATGCACAGCTCTACCAGACCTGTCAGGTGGGATTAGTGATATCTGGTAGCAAAATATCCCCTCTGAGCTGTTTAACTGAGGAGCTGTTTTCACCTGGGCCATCTAAACCTGCCTCACACAGCCCCAGCTTTGTGGGAGCTGAACTCAGGGCAGAACCACTCCAGGCTCCTCCAGCTCTTGGCCTGAGTTCAGTGGTGGTGGAACCAAACACCAACCAGCCAGTAACAAAACCTGAATGCATCTTCATCTCAAATATTCCACAAGACAAAATTTCAGACAGAACAGCACCGATAATCAAGGTTTTTCCCTTCTTTTTACCCCCACAAAACTCAGCTGACCTAAATTATTCCAGACAACCCCCCCAAAACCACAAAGTTGGGCCACTGCTGGAAGCAGTGCTGCAAACACGTGGCTACACCAAGAATATCTCGTTTATATTTATTTTCTGACCACTGTGAGTGGGTCTCACTCCAGGTTCTCATCCTGCTCACCTGGTTTGCTGCCCACAGGGGAGAGGAGCACAGACAGAGTTGTTCCCAAGTACCACACTGCATCTGGCAGAAGTAGGAATGGCAGGTAAAACTGAAGGATTCCTACAGCCCCAATTTAGAGACACTAATTCTCGCTGAGACAAACGGTGCTGTTTAATCAGTTACAGTGCTGCTGTGCTAGAGATTCCCTTAATAATAAATAAATAATAAATACCCTTGCTGTGTCTACCACAACACTGCCCAGCTCACTCCAACCTTCAGAAATTACAGGGGATTTTATTAAAGATAAACCCACCGCAGCAGAGGTTATTTTGCCTGTGCTTCAAGAACGTGTAAAAACGGAAGGAATTAAGATGCTCACAGCTGTCATGGAAACAATTAAGATGCTCACAGCTCCTGGAAAAGAGGTGAGAAAATCTGAAATGCCATCATTATAAATCTGCAATAAGTCAGAAATCCATTTACTAGTAAGTAGAAAATGCAGCCAAGTCATGAAAATGTGCAACAGAAATGCTGGGTTACACTGTAAAATGTCCACTTTTCAGGAAGAGGGGATATTAATGATGAAAATAGCATAACCTTGTAAAGAAAAGAGATCAACTTGACATATAGACCTGGAGATAAAACTTCTTGAACTTGGAAACCTCTGAAATATGGATGAAGTTTGGAATTTAAGTATGTTCCTATCAGACAAGTAAATAGGTAATGTTTGTTCTGGTCCACTCTGATGTTGTAAGGAGTAATCCCAAGCACTCTGAGGCTCCTGGGAATCATTATAATATGCAAAGGATGACATTTTGTGGATGTGCCAGATTTTTCCAACCTTCTTTTGAGAATCTTTTTTTAATCTCAGGGCCTTGCAGTCACTTGTGACTGAAAAGCAAGAGCTCACCAGGCTCTTCAATTTTTCAAGGAGCAAATAAGATGTTTTGATACAACTCTCTGTTATGAAAACGTTCCAGACAGTCTTGACTCCATGAAATCAGCCTCATGTTTGAAGTTTCGTGACACTGAAGAGGCTAAACAGTGGTTAGAGTTGATGCACATGTCTCGAGGGCAGCTCATTTCTTGCCTTGAAGGAGACACGTGTCGGCCTGGATGAGCTGTGGGAACAAGACAGAAGATTCCTGGGACTGAGAGGCTCTGTCAGGGCTGGGACTGTGACAGGGACACTGATTGTGGCTGGCAAGTGCTGCAATAATTGGGGGCTGTGGAGGCCAGTCGTGGAGTGAGGGTGGTCACAGAGACTAAATGGCAGCGTTTCAGCGAGGAGAGACACGAGCTGTTGACTAGAAATCGTTCCCATGGTCAGGAGGCCTCTTCTGGAGTTATAAATATTCCTTGGAAGGTGCTTACAAAGAGCTATCCAGGCCAGTTAACTGGTAAAACAGCCTGGCTGGTCTGTGTTTGAGCACTGCCTGACGGGGGCACAACGGCTGCCAAGTCCTGTCCTCCAAATCTGCACATCCCACTGCTCTGATTCCTCTGAACAGCATCTTTAAGCCTGTTTAGCTCCTGGGACTGGGATTCAGACTCATCCTTCTTCCATAAGAATATGAAAAAGCTGTCTCTGCTGGCAGTGACACGAGGCACACATTCCTCACAGAGCTTGGTGTGTATTTAAACATTTATTTTTCACATTGGTGGTGAAACATCAAATTGCCATTAGTACCGAGGCTTTTCCTTTTTTAAATCTTTGTACTGTTTGTTGCTGGTCAGCTCTTAAAAGGCACCATCTTAAAGCCATGCCATTGATGCTCCTTTTTTTCTCTGTAAATCCAAAGGGATCTCACTTGCAACACACCTGTGATGATAATCTCAGTGTCATATGGGGTGGTAACACTTCAGGAAAAGATCCATTTACTTTAAAAAAAAATGAATTCCTTTTCAAAGGAATTCATATTTGGTCCCTCTATTCTAGACAGGGCGGTTTTCCTCATAGGAACATCAGCAGGAGCTGCAGCTCCCACCAGGATTTTCATCAAACAAAACAAATTCCTGAAACAGGAGCTGTGTCACCCAGGTCTGGACAGGGGCACCGAGAGCCACGTCCACTGATTCCAGTTAAACCAAGTTAACCAGTAAGCAGGGTAAGGCTCTGCTTAATCACCTGAACAACGACTGCATAAACTTCACAGAACGTGACACATCCTTTGCAGAAACATCTTACTAATTTATACTTCACATTTCAAAGGAGCCACTTATCTCCAAGAGCAGCTGTAAGCAACAAAAATGCAGCAGCACATCCTGAACCTGATTTGTGCTATGAGCTGACTCTGATGAAGACATTCCCTCAGTTCTTTCCCTTTTTCTTGTTTTCTTATGGTTTAAAACTACACAAATTCAAAAGGCTATTTGTGGGAATTACTTCACAAAGGCATAAGTTTGGGATATTGTAGAACTGCTGGAGAACAGAGTTCTATTTTTCTGTAAGAAATTGTGAGGTAACTCCTAAGCTTGGTGGTGTAGGGAAGAACCGCCCTGACAGTGTATAAAGCACTTAATTTGTAGTTGCAGTGATGGGAACATTTTCTCTGGGTATAGAAGGACCCAAGTTCTATTAACAATGACCCATAAGGAAATTGTTACATAAATGCATAAACACTCTACCAGTTGTTTGGGAGCAATAGCATTTGCTAAGAAGGGAAAAAAATCTCAAGGCACAGACATTTTAGGGGGAGTTGCTCTTTATTGTCATATACTTTTATTCTTGCAATTGCAACAACCCCTAAGGAGCCTCCTTTTAAACACACAATGCACAGAGAGCCCCTGGCCCAGAGCTCCCAGACCTCTGAGTGCTTAAACACTCCAGCAGCATTTGAAAAAATACACTGCACAAGCCAGTCCACTGCTTTAAAATAAGAACCCAGGACTGGCTGTGTAAATAGGTACTTACCTGCTTCAGTGCTGTAAATATGTAATTTAGGCTGCTGTCCCATGACATATTTTGTGTCTAATTTAAGGAACTGGGTGTTTGGTCAGGAGGGTCTGGGCTCCTGTCAGGTAAATATTACAAGCTGTAAATTTTCACAGCAGATTTAACACTAAATTTAGTTAGCACTATAAATAAAGTGATCATTGACCTGATGGTAGCCCTTGTCCTTGCCAGTGGTTGGCCTGAGAGGTAGTTAAGGATCTGTGGAGGAACCTGCTGCAGCTCCCTGAGATTCCAAACAGCCACATTCTGCTGTGGCAACCTGGACATAGTTTATACCAGCACTTGTAGCTTCTGAGCTTGGAAGCTTTGAGCCTTTTCCTCCCAGTTCACCTCAAGGTGGGGAACACTCACACCTGACAGGAAAGTGCTCATGGAGAAGAGCCTTAGAGGCCAGACACTGCCTAAGCTGCTTGGGTGTCTCAGCCTAGCAGCCCATAAAGAGAAAACCTTGGATACTTAAAATTAAAAATAAAGCCATTTTGAATTCCTACAGTGATACAGAAGCCACGGCTCTGCACGTGCTGGTTGCTGATAACTGCCCACAGAGTCAGCTTTCTAATTTAAACTCCTCACTTGGAGATATCAGGAGGGATGCTCTCGACCCCCACTGGTTTGTACAGGCAAACC